ACTAACTAGTGTATTTTTTAATGCTTTGAATACATTATCTTGTTCAACTCCCTATTCATAAGGCTAATTTTGTATAAAAGCATTATAAAGGGCATTGCTAATTGAGAACTATTAGCTATAAACTTTTGGTAATAATTTACTAATTCTAAAAAAAAACAAAGTTCATGTATGTTTCGAGGTACATTCCATGTTTTAACCACTTCTACTTTCTTTGGATTGGTCATAAACTCTTCTAAAGACACTATATGTTCTAAAAATTCAACACTGGTTTTTCTAAATTCATATTTGCTAATTTTTCTGTATAGTTGGTTCTTTCGAAGCAACTTTAATACCTGGTTTACATGCTTCATATAATCTTCTTGTGATTTGCTGTAAATCAAAATATTGTCAAGATAAATTATTACAAATTTATCCAAAAAATCTCAGAATATATCATTCATTAAGTGCATAAAGGAAGCTAGTATATTTATCAAACCGAATAGCATTACTAAAAATTTATAATGACTGTATCGTGTACGAAATGCTGTCTTTTCAATGTTCTTTTCCTTAATGCGTATCTAATGATATCCAGATCACAAATCGATTCTACTAAAAATTACAGCATCAGTAAGCTGATCTAGCAAATCGTCCATATGAGAGAGGGATACTGATTCTTTATTGTAGCTTTATTCAAAGCCCTATAGTCTATACACATACAAAGAGTACTATCCTTCTTGGCTACAAAAGCACCAGGACTCTATAAGGTAATGTGCTAGGACGGATTATTCCTTTTTTTATATATTCATCTAACTGCTTCTTTAATTCTCTTAATTCATAAAATGATAATCTGTAAATAGGGTTAAATGGAGGTATTGCACCTTCTTGAAGGGTAATTTCATAGTTGATATTTCATTTCGAGAATAAATTATTTGGTAACTCCTCTGGAAAAACATCCTGATACTCATCTACTACTTTCTTTAGGAATTCTGAAATATCAATTTCTTTATCACTCTTCGTATCTTGGGTGTTTACAGTTAATACTGCAAACAGCTCTGCATTTTGTTTGGCTTTCTTGACCAACTGATTTTTCAAAATTATTACTGTAGCAGATCTGATGGGTTTTCTGTTAGCATTAGTGTTAATGTTAAATATCTTTTAGTTCTTCCATACTGAAACTTTATTTGTTTTCTAATTTATTCGAGGATTATGGTCATATGATCATAGCTTTTCTAATATTGCGTTGTATTTTTATAATGGTAAAACTTCTATTCTATTTCTATATTCCTTCCAAGAGTATATCTGGATTTTCACATTTAATATATAGCCACATATTTCACAAAGTGATCTATCAGCTAGTTCTACTGCTGACTTTCTTCTATACTTTCATTGATCATTAATTGATGTGTTTCTACAAATTGGACATTAATGAAATCTTTGAAGACACCAGAATCTATCAAAATTAAGGCATTCTTTTTACCGATCTTCCTTTTTACCTATAAGAGTTTTTCTTTCCTTTTACTACAAACATTAACTTCCTTTTCTATTAAGTTCACTTGCTCAATATTAGTATTTGTATTTGAAGAGGTTCCAGGGTTTGAAGTTTGTTTGCTAAAGCATATTTTTGCTATATGGCCCTTTTGTTCACACTTGAAGCATAATTCTTTTTGTTTATATTCCTTTTTCTTTGTATTTTTTATAACCTGTTTGCCCTTCTTTGTATTTTCGTGAAATTTTCTCACTTCGGTTCTATCAAGTTTCATTGGTGCCACTTCATTATCTCCTGAACTGCCAGTTTTGGAGCTATTACTTCTAATTTTTTCAGAGACTTGACTTTCTGTTCTATTAATAACATACATTGCAATATCATATATTGTTGCTAATTGTATTGCATCCTCAAGACTTTCAGATGAATGGTAACTAACTTCGGCTTTAGTTGCTGATTTCAAGCCTTTTATGAAGTTAAGTATTTTATCCATTTCATTCATTTGTTCCACTTGACTTAAGATATTCCTGAACCTTGAGGCATACTCTTGTACTGTTAAGGTTTGTTTAATATTTCTCAATTGCTATCTCAAGTACTATTGGTGTTGTGGGGGTTGAAATACCTATTTTATTTTATCTGCAAAACTTCTCCACACTTCAAACAGTTTCTGTATTTTGTGAGCCTAAACCTTGTTAAAGTACTATTAGAGCACCGCATCCTTCAGTTCTGTTATTATATACTGTAATCGTTTTTTATCTTCTATCTTATACACCTTATACAGTAAGTCAACTTAGAGTAATCAAGTCACAACATTTTCATCTTGTTTGCTATAAAATACAAGGAGTTGTACAGAAAGGCCTTTTGCTTGAAGGGTTCGCAAATGTTATCTACGAGTTGTATTGCAGCATATGGTTGAGTATTTTGGTGTTGAAGTATCTGTACAAGTTGTTGATTAACATTCTCTTGATTCAAAATAAACCTTTCTACAAAGTCATTAAAAGAGTTCTGTTGCGTTATAGTCAAAAAAAATTTTTTTGTTATATAAAAAAGTGATCAATAACACAATTATGTATATTAATAATAATTGTTTCTGCTGCTACCAAATATAACCGTTGGTTTACTCAACGTTCGTTACTTAGCAAAAAAAACCAGTTGTATGAAAAAATATCTTTCTTTTATTTTTTCTTTGTGCTTTTTATACTACAATAGACTATTACTGACTATTTTTTATTACCTTATTTTTCATGCTATTACAATTAATTAATTTAACTACAACCCTGCAATTAATTATCTAATTTATTTCTGGGTGTACAATCATGATCATTGATCATGATCATATCATATAAGCACAACAAGCATGACTTATATTATTTATTTCCAATCCTAAATGCATTACTAATTACTGTTTTATTTGTTTAAATTATAATCGATCACTGTTTTCTGCATATCATCATCGCCAAAGCCGTTATAACCAGATCAAATATTATAATACAGATTTAACCTATTATAAATATAGTATAATTATTAGTTATTATTTTATTATTTTATTTTTTATTATTTAGTTATTATTATTATTATTAGAGTAGAATTTAATAGATATGCATTACGTTTAGCACTTAATGCTTAATAATTAACAATTAATAATTAATGATTAGCAATTAATAATTAGTAATTAACAATTAATGTTTAATACTTAACATTTAACAATTAATACTTAACATTTAATGATTAACGATTAGTACTTAACGTTTAACAATTAGTGATTATATTTCATGCTTAGTACTAAGTAAACTATACTTAGCTACAACTATTAACAATTAGCCCTAAAGATATAAAAAAGATATAAATTTCTCTAAGTTAATATTAGACCTGCTTAGGACAGTATCATTTATCATCTGGTTTTTTTTTATCAGTAACTTACCCTCTTCTTCTCTCTTATTATATATCTTGATCAGGTCTTTATATATAATTTTAAATTTTTTTACCCCTCTCTCTCTAAAAAATCATCTGATTTTTGTCATATCCCTTACCATCCAAACTTAGATTCAGACTCTTCTCTTTTCTAAATTCTTTTTTGTAATATTATAGAATTTTTTAAAAATAGAAATCTAAATATAGCCTATCTTATTTCTCTTAATAAAACATATATTTTATCTATAAACTATTGTCTGCTTAAACTGCTACAGACAGAAGAATATAGTTTCTAATTGAAGTAAAAATTATACTTACCAGATGTTCTATAAAATAGGTGGGCAAACTCCACAACTCTAAGATTAAAAATTAATGATTACTAATCATTAGCGAAGCTTATTTCTTATATTGCCCATCTATTCTATAGAATATCCTACTTACTTGTTAAACACCACTATAAATCTATAAAAGATCTTTGTAGCCATGTTATTGTTATAGTATTACTGTTAAGAAAACCACAATATATATAGTTCTATATAAATAATTTTGTATATAACAATCACAAAAATCTATAGTAAAATACTAGATTTTTTAACAAATTTATTGAAAAGCTTTAAATTAACAAAAAAATCACTTCATTTTTTTAAAATCTAGATCTTGTTGAGTAACTAAACAAATTTTTAAATGAATTAATATATACAGTGTTTGACAAAAGTTTCCTGCACCTATATCTCCTTATAAAAAGGTGCTACGATCTTGAAAATTTCAGAAAAGTTAATACATATATAGATTAGATCGTGTATGTTGTTTGAAGGTTTTTTAATTACTAAAAATAAATTTAGATGAGAGCCAAAGTTGGGATGTTTTTCGTTTAAAAAAATAATTGTATTTAAAAAAATTTTAATATATCGTCAAAGTTTAAAGCTAAAACTTCTAAAAATTAATAGATTAAATTTCAATAATTTCTGTATTAGTGACAAAAAATTTGACTCGATTTGATGAGATAATTATTGAGAAATTAATTTTTAAAGTTTTGAGTTTTATTTTAATTTGTTGAGACCTGACTCTTTTTGTATTGCATAATGTTTTCATGAATATCACGTGTTCTAACAATTCAAATTTGATGATTTTGCTATCATTTGAATTGTCTAATCGAAATAATTCGAATGATACCAAAATCATTAAATTTGGATTACTAGATATCGAGATAGCTTCGATTGAAAAACTTTTACTTTGTAATTTTTTAAAATAAAATTCAAATTTTAAAAAATTAATTTCTTGACAATTATCTCATCAAATAGGGCCAAATTTTTTATCACCAATACGGAAATCATTTAATTTTAATATGCTAATTTTTAGAATTTTTAGCTTAAAGCTGTAATAATGTATTAATTTTTCTTTGAATTCAATTAATTTATTCATTTTTTTTAAAAAAAATATCCCGACTTTAGCTCTTATCTAAAAATTTTTCTGATAATTAAAAAACCTTTTAAAAAATGCATGATCTAAGCTACATATGTACTAGTATTTCTGAAAGTTTCAAGGTCATAGTACCTCTCTATGAGAAAATATAGGTGCGGGAAAACTTTTGTCAGGCACTGTAAGTTATAGAAAAGATATAATCTAAAGTCATATAGATATCTAAATAACCAAATTGGATCTCTTTCATAATCTATATATTAATTCGTTTAAAAATTTTGTTTAGTTACTCAACAAGATCTATATTTTAAAAAAATGAAGTGATTTTTTTGTTAATTTAAAGCTTTTCAATAAATTTGTTAAAAAAATCCAGTATTTTACTATAGATTTTCGTGATTGTTATACAAAATTATTCATATGGGACTATATATATTTGATCTACATAGTACACTGGACACCCCAACATATGGTATTACGAAAACCTATATGTAGTTATTCCAGAATACCTTCAAGAATTGGGTCTCATTGAATCGAGTTAAAACTTTAAATATTCATAATAATGATACAACAAATAATAATTTTTTTCATAATACATGCACTTAATTTTTCTAATACATATGTACATAAAAGCAAGCAAAAGTAAACTCGAAGCTTTATTAATTTGGCAATTTCAGATACATTATCATTACTTCCAACTATTATGAGCACTATATAAAAATATTATAAATCTGTGTATTTTATGTATTCATTAATAGGATTGTACCACCATATTCTTAAATATATTAATGACGTTTCTTTTTCTTTTTCGAGTTTTTGGATCTTTTTTTTATAGCTAAGAGAAAACAAAAGAAAAAATATAAGTAATTGTCAAAGCTAATGATGGCTGATGCTGAAATTCAGATCTATTTTGATGTGAAAAGTTAAAATTTTTGGGGGTGTTTTTGTTCATTTTTTTTTAGAGTTAAGATTTAGGGTTAGAATTGATAATTAAAGAGTATATGTGAATTTTAGCAGTGTTTATATTTTCAAATCGAGATTCCAAATTTTAGCATCAGCCACGACAGTAATTTATATATATTATCATAAAAAATTTTTTTGCATATACATATTCAGATAAATCAGGTGGTTTGAGTGATCGCTCGAATTCTTCAACAGTTCTATCATCAAACACAATCCAGTATAAATTATTTTTTCTGTCGTTTAATCTTGCCTCTTTCAAAGAATTTTCTATTGGCTACAACATTTGGCCTATATCATCCCAAAGAAATATGTGGCCATAATAGTCTAAAAAAATCATTCTATAATCGATCTCACCAATAATAATGATGTGATTGAAACCAAATTTTGCAACCCATATTATGTCTAATTCAAGCTCTTTTGGATTTTCACTATCACTAGGAAGTTCGCAACCAATAAAAGATGCAATATTACGACAGTCAGAATTATTTGCATATGTATCAACTACTATAAATGTATTGTTGCAAAATATATCATTTTGTTCATCATATTTTGACACATGAGACATGGATCCTTGATCTTCAGTTGTCTTTCCGATATCTTTGGTAGTTTTAGAGTCCATGAGTATACAACGACAGGGTTTCGTTTAGATTTTCTGTGTCCACACAGTGCCTCCCAAGGTACTGATTCTGAACAATTTCCTAAAGGATATCTGCAAATTTTCAACTGTTGTTTGGTTAGAGCAGGAGTTAAACTCAGCTATAATATCAATATGTTCTTCACTCTTGTTTCTAGTATTTGTTTCAAGAATTCCCATGTCTCCCTTGTCACTGGTTCAAAACGAATTGACACACTGAACATGAACCTCACAATTTTCTCTTTTCGTTTTGAGTATGTGAGATTTATTGTCCGGGGACGATATAGTATATTTGGCTCTATCTTTATAATCTTTTTGACTAAGAGTTCCTGACCCTTTGCAAGATATGCAACTTGACTTTGTATTATAGTTTTTTGGAAGGGTCGATTGATATAAAACGTCCAAAGAAGAGATATTACGTCTCATACTGTTATTATTAGAACCTTCTAATAATAAGACAGGTTTAATATTTTGTTCTTCGGTCTGAATGGAACCATAATTCTCTCTGATCTATCCAAAAAAAGTAGTTTGTTAAATATATTTGAAAATTTTTCTGTGCGATAAACATACCTGTAGGATTTCATAAACTCAGTTATCAGCTCTTTCTGCTATTGTTCTTGTAAGGTATCTAGCCAAGCATATAGACTTTAGAGACAATACATGTAATAAAGTGATAAGTGAGATGATTATATACAAATCGAAATAGTATTTGAAAATTAATATAAAGCTAGAAAGAACCAACTTATTTTTCCTTTCTGTTATAATAGTCAGTCTATTAGACGTAGCTTTCAAATGACCTGATTATCGATTAAAATTACCTGTAGCAACTTATAGATCAAGTGAGTTGACCTGTTATAATTAAGGGTTTTTGCCAAGTATGGAATATATGGATCAGTACACAGCAAAACAAGGTTTAGATACATTTTGATCAAGGTCAAGATTTTACTAGATCATATTTCTAAATATATAATTTATTCACAGTAAATTTTTTAGCATAATAAAACTTTGTACAATTTTATATGCAGTATTTTTTTTATCTATATACAGTATTATATTTAAAATTTAATTAATTAAATATTAATATCTAAAAATTCATTCTGAAGCCCTTTTTGTTGTGTACTGACTCAATATGATTTACTATGTCCCATGACTTGGTTTTCAAGACAAAGACCCCATTAAGGGTAGAGTATATATAGATCATTTTTATATAAGTTTTATTATACAAAAAAAATTTATATAGATATTAAAAATATTATTAGCAAAAAAATTTCAAACTATAGTCAATCTTTATCAAAATTTTATAGCAAATATATTTGAACTTTCTATTTGTAATATTAAGTTTTAAACCTTCATATTTTTTAAAAAAACCTCTATACTCATATTATTAAATCTTTCTAGATTAACTAATAATCTTCTTAGGTAGTATAACAAAAAAAAAATTCTATTGATTTTTCAAAACTATAAAAATTCTAATTGCATAAACCTTAGTATAGAAATCATATATATACAATATTAAAAAGTCAAACTATTTGTTAATTTCAAAAATTTAGAACTAGCAGTTTAGTTTTTTATAAGTACTATCAAAAAAAACTTACAAATCTTATTTTATATTGATTATTTGCTTTTTCTTTCTTTTTTTTGTTATAATAATTATACTCTTAGCAAATTCTAATAATATTTTTTTATTTTATGAATTAAAAATAGAATCTTTTCTTGTTTCTTCTTTTCAATTTCTGCTATTATTATCTTTACTGTAAAAAGAATTTATAGATATACTTAAATATTATTAAGTGCATTACAGTATTTATGATTCTCTGTAGTACACTTTAGTTAGACAGTATAAGCATTTTATACAACATATAACATGTGATTACATTTCCCAACTGTTAATAAAAATTTAAAAATTTTTAATGATAATTGACAAAGTGTCCTTTTAATTACTTAGTAACTATTTTTTAGACTTATTTCTAGCAATCTGATTGGTTGATTTTCAATTTAATTAGAATAGTACAGTATTTTTTTAATTAGTAACCATTTTTTGAACCTTTTCTTGCAATCTAATTGGTCAGTTTTTAATTAGTAACCATTTTTTGGACCTTTTCTAGCAATCTAATTGGTTAATTTTAATTAGTAATCATTTTTGAACCTTAAATATGCAGCAACCATTTTTTGAATCTCTGAATTTTGATTTGTCAAGAACCAATGATTAAAAATTGATCAACAAAGAGTATCAAAATAAAAACTTTTGATAACTTTATGAATTCTTGTTCATTTGCTTTCAAATTTTACAAATAAGATCTTGTTATAGTTTTCTATTATTTCAGTTAATGCGCAGTAATAGAGTTGGATTAAACTTTTCAAAATCAATCTTAAAAACAAATGATTAAAAATTAATCAACAAAGAGCATCAAAATAAAAACTCTTGATAACTTTACAAATTCTTGTTTGTTTGCTCTCAAATTTTACAAATAAGATCTTGTTATAGTTCTCTATTATTCTTGTTAATATATAGTAATAGAGTTAGATTAAACTTTTCAAAATCGATTTTGAAAACAAATAATTAAAAATTGATTGACAAAGAGTATCAAAATAAAAACTCTTGATACTTTATGAATTCTTGTTTGTTTGCTTTCAAATTTAACAAATAAGATCTTGCTATAGTTCTCTATCATTCCTATTAATATGTAGTAATAGAGTTAGATTGAACTTTTCAAAATCGATCTTGAGAACAAACGATTAAAAATTGATCGACAAAGAGTATCAAAATGAAAACTCTTAATAATTTTACGAATTCTTGTTCATTTGCTCTTAAATTTTACAGATAAGATCTTGTTATAGTTCTCTATTATTTCTGTTAATGCATAGTAATAGAGTTAGATTAAACTTTTCAAAATCAATTTTGAAAACAAATGATTAAAAATTGATTGACAAAGAGTATCAAAATAAAAACTCTTGATAACTTTACGAATTCTTGTTCGTTTGCTTTCAAATTTTACAAGTATGATTTTGTCATAGTTCTCTATTATTTCTGTTAATATGCAGTAATAAAGTTAAATTAAACTTTTCAAAATTGATCTTGAGAACAAATGATTAAAAATTGATCAACAAAAAGCATCAAAATAAAAACTACAGACAGTTAGTTATTTGATATTTAAAAAATATATAAAGTACAAAATTGTCTAATTTAAAATATATTGAATCAGTTTTGATTTGATAACGAATACAATTGGCTCTACTATAGCTATTCATTAAGAAATAAAATTTTTGTTTCTTAAAAATATCTTCAAAGAAATTTTATATCTATTCGAAACAAATTTAAATTGTATACTATGATTGTTTAATTGATTTTAACAATATGTTATCATAATTAATTGATATATTTTCAAAAAAAAAATTTTAAATTAAGAAATATATAATTACAAAACAAAAAGATACTTATAATATTTATATATATATTCATTTAAATATTATTAAAAATATTCGAAATAAATATTTTTTTAATATTAATTATAATAACAATATTTATTTTTCTCAAGTAAAAGAAACATATTCTTATCAAAAAATTAAATCAATAGCTTTGGAAAGCTAATAGTTCGTAACAAATATTACATTCTAATATTATATATTTATTAATAAAATCATCTAGTTAATTATACTGACTAGAATTTTTTTTACATAAATTAAAATCAAAAATGGTATCAAGAATAAAATTTAATCAAACTATGATAACTTTATTTCAATGTCAACAATGTTATAAAGATTTTTAATACGTTAAAAAAGATAAAATCAGTAAAGTTGAATGATTAAAATATCAAAAAGAATATGAAGAAACAGAAATACGACCATTATATATTCAATATAAATTGTATCACTATCGATACAAAAATTCAAAATGTAAACAATATTGTAAAAAAGCCTGCTACAATTTGATAAATTATATTAATTGTCAAGAACATAAAATTAGGTGCAAATGGACAATTTCAAAAACACAAGAAAAATTTGATCTTTTACAACCATCTTTAACTTATAGCTATAGAAAATTTAAACAAACTCTGCAAGAACATTTATATATACATCTTTTTTTACAATTTTTAAATCAAGTAACTATAAAAAATATAAAAGAATTATTTAATAAAAATGATAAAATTTCTTTTCTTCCTAGAATTTTAATGAAAAATTTTTCTAAAGATACAAAATATTATATCAGAAAGCCTTATAGACGATATAAAATATATCATAAGCCATTAGAAAAAAATATTACAAATGCAATTTATATAATTTATCTGATTTAGCAAATTGTAAAGTATATACAAATCGAATATTATAGACAATATAAAAAAGAATTATTAGATGAAGATAGTTCAGGATCTTTTAAATTTAGCAAATATAGATTATTGTTAGGTAGTTTTAATGAAACAGTTGATGCTATCAATAACAGTAAATTAGATGATATTAGATGCAAAGAATATATTAGAGACAATAATATATCATATAATACATTAATTCAAAATCTAAATTTAATTCCTTTGAGTTATTATAACTCTTTTTTTTGTATGAAAAAATTTTACATGATTAAGAGCAATTTTAAAAAAAAGAAAAAGTAAGAGATTTTGGAGACCTTTTACATTCTATTTGTTTGGACCAGGTGGTTCTGAAAAATCAGGGCTTGTTCAAGCTTTATTCAATGATGAATTATATCAAAAACCTAAAAAACAAAAAAATTCTTGGTAGAATAGCAAGTAAATTAATAAAGTTGATAATTTGTAAAGAGTTAAATTTTAATATTCTAAAATTTTATTATAGGTTATAAAGGCCAAGAAATTGTTTTACTTGATGAATTCTATATGAAAGTCAGATAGAACAATCTCATAAATTATCTTAACAATATAGAAGAATGAGTAGAAATTAAAAACAAGGATTTCGAATCATTTTTAGCAAAATATTTTTTTTAACTGCAAATAAATCACTCCAAGATTCTTTTAACTTTGGACAAAAAGATGAAGAAACTATACAAAGAAATTATAGCCAATTTGAAAGACGATTAGAGTATATAATTGAATTTATAAAAAAATAGTATCATGATCTTAACAAACAAATAACAAATATTATTTTCCACAAAGACAACAAAGAAAAGTTCAGAAATTTGATATTTGATATAGAATATCAAGTTAATAAAGATAGATTAGAAGCAAAAATTAAAAAAGAAAAAAAACAAATGAAGAGATTAATAGAGATTATATTATTGATAGAGATAATATTTATTGAAAAAGAAAATTCCCAGAGTATATAAAAAATTATCTAAGCGAATATCCTAAAAGTCAAAAAATTTTTAGATATTGACAAGAACAAGAAACTTCATTAACTAAATATAAATAAGATATTATCAACCAAACAGAAAATAAAAAAAGAAAAAAAGAATATATTATAAATTTTTTTTAATTTTAATTTTAATTTTTTTAATATAGTTAAAATATTTTTTTATATTATTATTTTATACTCAATTTGGAATTATTAAATATATAAATTTTAAGTTAAGATTAATTAATAATAAAAATTATTTAAATAACAAAAATTTCTTCTATATTACTTTAAAATATTCAATAAAAAATACTATCTGTTTTAAGTAAAGAAAATTTAATTTCTATTTTGATCAATTCTTTAACTCCAGTTGAAAAATTTTATAACTTCTACTTAAAAACAAAATCATGTATTTTAACTTGTGATTACAATTTACTTCTGGCTTATGATGAAATTTTAAATAAAATAAATATCTTTGATTTAAATAAAATTATATTTTATAACAAACAATATGATTTTCGATTTCAACATTGTGCTTGTTGTAATTTAGTCAAAATAGTCAAAAAAAATATATATATAAATAATTTAAAAATATATAAATATTTTAATAAATCTTGTAATCTTTAAATAAAATCTCTCAAAATGCTATCAATTTTGACAAAATCGAATTATACTTTGAAAACTTGCTGTTTTAATTGTTGAGATCAAAATATCAGCTGTAAAAAGAGTATCAAAAATCTAGAAGTTTGTATTCGTTATTACAAAAAAAGCTTTAATTGTAAATCTTCAAATTATGAAGATAAAATTAAAAGACTAAATTCTGTTGTTAAAGTCTAGGAAATCAGAATCTTATCTTTAGAAAAACAAGTTTTTAACTTAGAAAAAAATGAAAAGCTTGTTAAAATGAATATTACTCAGCTCTTCACAATCTATGAAAATCATTAATATTTATTAGTATTTTTTTTATTTTACTATAATTTTTCTTTCTTAAATTATTTTTTTAGTCTTAAAAATCATTAATTCATTAAAAATTATTATTTTTATATTGTATTTTTCTTATTTTAATAATAAAATTATTTTAAAAATCAAAAATAAAAATTGTAGCTTAGCTTTTAAAAAATATAAAAGAATTTTAATTGTTTTTTTCTATATTAAATAAAAAATGAATTGTCAAAAAAAATTTAAAAACTTTGAAGTTTTGTTTGCAAGCAATTAATTTTAAATTAGTATATGATCAAAAAACAGAAAATTTGAATAAAAAAAAATTATTTATTAAAATATAATTTATATATTTTATTTTCTTTATTTTTTTTAAAAATATATATATAAAATAATTATCTATTTTTATAATAAAATAAAATATTGACTCAAAAATTATTAATTTTATTTTTATTAATTAACCAAACTCTTGCGTACTGCAGATGTTTTAATAACAAAGAAGTAGAAACAAACAAAATTTCAAAAAAAGATACTTTAGAAATTTGAAAGCAAGCTTCATATCCTAATGAATTTCATAAAATCGAAAATATAATTAAAAAAACCAAACTCAAAAATTATCAAATACTTACAAGTCTTAATACTGGAGAAAATTTTAATATTATTAAAAATTCTAATTTAAATTCTAAATATAAAAATAGTTTACACAAATCTTGTGCGAGTAAATTTTCTTATTATAGTTTTATTGATTTAAATCAGTATACAAAGAATTTTGTTTCTATTTTAGATTTAAAAAACAGAATTTTAACAGATAAAATCTTAAATAAAAAAGATAAAAAAAGATTAATTGATTTGTTAAATTTAAAATTATTTAATTTTATAAAAGAAAATAATTTAGAAGAAAAAAATAATATTAATATTATTATAAATAATAACAATAAAGAAAAAATTTATTATTGTAAAAATAATTAAATTAAAATTATTGCAATTATTTCATTCAAATTTAATTTGTTTAATACAAGACATATTAAATATAAAATAAAATATGCTATAATTGCATTTACAATTACCAGTTCAAAAATTTTAACTCAAATACTATATTCAGTAATAAAAAAAATAAGGAAAAACTAAAATTGCTCGAACAAATTTTTATGAACAATCTGCAAATAATAATAATTAACAATTCTTTCTTTTAAATTTAAAAAAATAAAAATATTTTTCAACGAATATTTACCAAATTTAATATAATCTAACAAATCCAAAATTCAATTAAACAAACCAAAAGTATATTTATAAATAAAATTGTCAAACTCTGCAAAATTTGCTGCTCTGTAAAATTCAGCTTTATTTAAAGCATTTCTTAATAATAAATTTTGAGTATCATTTATTTTTCTAATCTTTGATTTGATTCTGTTAATTTGTTTTTAATTCATTATTTTCTTGAATTAAATTCTTAATTTGTTCTGCTGCTTTAGTTAATTTTTCATTTTTGTTTTTAATTCATTATTTTCTTAAATTAAATTCTGTTCTGCTACTTTAGTTAATTCTTCATTTTTTGTTTTTAATTCATTATTTTCTTTGATCAAATCTTCAATTTGTTGTCTAAATATATCAATAGTTTTTTGTTCTGCTATACTTTCTTCAATTTTCTAGAATATTTTTTTTAAACAAATTTTTTTTTTTTTGCATATATCAGCAGCCTCGCCAGTATCTTTTATTAAATCAAAGCATGTACAAGGTACATTTAAGTTGAAGATCTGACATCACTCGACTGCTTCTAAGGGTATTTAAATGTGGTCTGCCTTACCAGTTAAGGCTATTGCCCGTACCAGAGGGCTATACCAAGCTAGCCTAGGAAACCATCACAAGACAGTTTTAAAACGAACGAATTTTTAACTATATTATATTGACAATTTTTTCTTTCTAAACTATCTATCTTTTTTGAACAAAGTTCTAAATCTAATTTTCTATGAATAAACCAAGATACTTCTTTTTCCAACACAGAAATATTGCTAAAATTTTCTTGTTCGTGATTATATTTCTTTTTTCTTTTTCTTCTCTTCCAGTTTACCCTGTCTTTTCCAATTTGTGGCCCGGGTCTTGAGAGTCTTCTCTTGATCTTTTTTATAATTTTTTCTTCCCAGTTTATAGCTTTGTACTTTCTTTCTTCTTCTGCTTGAGGACTTGATCTATTGGTTTCTTCTAGAAATACTCTTCTATACATTTTCTTTTTCTTTTTCTTTTTCTTCAAGTACCTTAAGTTTTCTTTCGGTTTCTTTGTTTTGAGGTCTTGATTAGCCTGCCCAGGTTTTCTTTCTTCCATATTCTGGGTATAAAAATCTTTTTCTCTTCTTTTTTTGTTCTTCTTACTCTTCTTTTCCCTTCTGAAACTTGGTCTTCTTCCCAAGAATCTTTTTTGTATTTCGTTAAAAATCCTCTGACTTTTAAGATATTCTACAAAGATCTTCTCTAGTATTCCTAATAATGTGTTTTTCTTTTTTTTTTCCAATTCTTGACACCCCACGATCTAGATGTTACTGTGCTCTGTAGTGGGTTCGTATTCAAGTTCTATTAAGACTTCCATCCATGTATCTACTTCACTAAAAGATCTTTTTTGTCTTTTTCTATATTTTTTTGTTATATTGTGAATCATCTTTAATGTTAATTTGATATATTACTTCTGTTAACCAGTCTTCTGAGGTTGCAAATATGATCTTTGGTC